ATGTCCAGAGGCCCAACCCTGCTGTCCCCACTGAAGGGGGCTTCCCAGCAGCATCCCTTTTTGTTGGAGCGGCCAAAATTCATGAGGTGGCCAAAGAAATTCCCAGGATGGAGATCCAGGTGCTCATAAAATGAGGGGAGCCGAGAGCGGACCTAGCCCCTGGGACCTGCCCTGCCAAGGGCGACGGGAGGCCAGCAGGGCAGTCACACCGTGTGGCCCAAGTGTGAAACACCAAGAATCCTTTGTCAACCTGTGTGATGCACCTATGGGATGTGAAGTCCCAAACAGTCCAGAGAGAGAGGCTGTGGGGTGCAGAGGCTGCCCCTGGGGAACCTAGGGAAATGCCCGCTTCCTACTCAGAGACTTCTGTGGGTCTGGGGGCCTATTCGTGGGAACGTGTTCAGGTATTGCCGGCATAATTACGGCTAGAACTAATCTTGAAGTTCAGAGTGGATTCCAGGTCTCAGAGCAGTTTCACATACAGTTCTGGGGGCTGGGCATCTCTGCCCCAGGGACTGCTCCCCTACGCCTCTGGGCTTGTCCCATAGGCACAGAGTGGCCTCACTTCCCCCCACCGTGTTCCCAAAGCATGAAGGGCACAGGCCATGCTTCACAGTCAGGTGGGCACAGACCCCATCCAGGCCCCTCATACCTGCTGGTCATCCTGGGAAGACCCTCTGGCCTTGATCTGTTTCCTCATCTTCAGGGTGTTTGGGGGGAATTTTAGGAGCAAAAATGAAAGGAGACAACCTTCTCCCTGACAGACCCCAAATTAATCATCTTTTCAAAAAGGCGACTCAATGAATGAAAAGTCAAGAATGTTAAGTCAGATTCAGTTCAAGTTGAAAGGGTTCAGGAACAAAGTCCCTTCTTTTCTTTTTTTCCTTTCTCTCTCTCTCTCTCTCTCTCTCTCTCTCTCTCTCTCTCTCCTCTCTCTTTCTTTCTTTCTTTTCTTTTTTTTTATACTAGAGATTGAACCCAGGGGCACTTAACCACTGAATGACATCCCCAGACCATTTTTTATTTTTTTTATTTTGAGACAGATTCTTGATAGGTTGTTTAGGGCCTCACTAAGTTGCTGAGGCTGGCGATCCTCCTGCCTCAGCCTCTTGAGCCACTGTGATTACAAGCAAATACAATAAATAAATAAAAAGGTTTGGTGATGCAGCTCAGTGGTATAGTGCCCCTGAGTTCAATCCCCAGTATCAAAAAAAAAAAGATATGAGGGGCTGGGGTTGTGGCTCAGCGGTAGAGCGCTCACCTAGCACGGGTGAGGCCCTGCGTTCAATCCTCAGCACCACATAAAAATGAATAAATAAATTAAAGATATTGTGTTCAACTACAACTAAAAAATAAATATTAAGAAAAGATATGAACTCAGTGCTGGGGTTGTGGCTCAATGGTACAGCGCGTGCCTAGCAAGCGCAAGGCCCTGGGTTCGATCCTCAGCACCACATAAAAAATAATTAAATTGTGTACAGCTAAAAAATAAATTGTGTACAACTAAAAAATAAATTTAAAAAAAGAAAAGATATGAACTCATAGTATCAAATTATTTAAGGTAAAAACTGTTTTTAAAACAGTGGGGAGACGGCTGGGCTTGTGGCTCAGTGGTAGAACACTTGCCTAGCACATGTAAGTCACTGGGTTTGATCCTCAGCACCACATAAAAATAGATAAATAAAATAAAGGTATTGTGTCCATCTACAACTTAAATTTTTTTTTATGGGGGGGCTGGCATGGTAGCACTTGCCTGTAGTCCCAGCTATCCAGGAGGCCAAGGGAAAATCATTTGAGTCACAGTTCAGGCCAGCCCGAGCAACACTGTAAGACCCTGTCTCAAAATAAAAACTAACAAGGGTCAGGGGTGTAACTCAGTGACAACGTATCCGGGTTCAATCGCTAGAGGGCCAATAGGACCCAGTAGGCCCCATACAGCAAAAAAGCAAAACTTGGCACAGTGAGAGGATCATTTGAACTCATAAATCTGAGACCCAGCTAGGCAACACAGCAAGACCCAAGCTGTTAAAGGAACAATGAAAATTTGTAAGAACTACACTGACTTCAGAAACTTTAACTCTTTGTGTCATCTCTCAATCAAAAAGTAACAGACAGGTGGAGGTAGTGGGTGCAGTGGTGCATACCTGGAATCCCCATTACTCATTACTCAGGAGGCTGAGGCAGGATTGTAAGTTCAAGGCCAGCCTCAGAAATTTAGGGAGGCCCTCTCTCAAAAAAAAAAAATGCTGGAGATGTGGCTCAGTGGTTAAGCACTCCTGGGTATCTTCAGTACAGAAAGAAAGAGAGAAGGAAGGAAGGAAGGAAGGAAGGAAGGAAAGAAAGGAAGGAAGGAAGGAAGGAAGGAAGGAAGGAAGGAAGGAAGGAAGAAAGAAAGAAAAAAAGAAAGAGTGACACAGAGCTAAGCACTCTGGTGCACACCTGCAATCCCAGTTAGTCAGGAGGCTGAGGCAGAAGAATGCAAGTTTGAGGCCAGTTTTGGTGAAGCCCTCAGCAACTCAGTGAGACCCTGTGTCAAAATAAAAATATAAATTAAAAAAAAAAAAAGCTGGGGATGTGGCTCAGTGGTTAAGCACGCCTGGGTTCAATCCCTCATACCACTAAATAAATTATAAAAAAATAAATTTCAAAAACTGAGGATGAATGCCCCTGGGTCCAATTCCCAGTACTGCAAAGAAAAAAGGAAATTGGTAAACTTGACTTAGGAGCTATGAATAGAAAAAAAATTGAGGTGTAACCTATATTTCCCACATTGATGAAATTTCTCTTCTTAACCACTCAGTCATCCAAGCCGAGATTCAGGGCCTGCCACAACCCCCACCCCCAACCCATTTAGGAAGCTCAAGTGAAAAGGTTCAGCCAAGGTCAGGCACACAGACACTAATCCCACAGGCCTTTTGCTGTTCCTTGCCTTGTCCCCCACCCCCAGCTCAGTGTGGGCGCGAAGGAAGCGCCCAGTAAACATTAGTGTCAAATGAGTAATTCTGCTTTGTCCCTCCAGGCGGCTGGCCTCCCTCTCCAGCCAAGGTAAGGGACCTTGTAATTGTGGCAGCGAGGCTGCAGGGTGGCCTCCCTGTCTCTGCTGCAGGGGTAAGCGCGATTCTTACCCCTGCGGGAATGGAGGCCCAGCGCAGGCTTGCATCCTTGGCTTGGCTCATGTGAATTATCCCAGCCCTGGCCCCGCTGGGCCACCCTCTCCCATAGAGGGTGCTCCTGGGTTCCCACAGTCTCAGACAGCCCTGCCCCAGTGTTTGGCTAAAAGGCCAGGTGAGGTGCCTGGTATGTAGACAGAGCTCTGTGTCCCTAAAGATAACAAGTTATTACAGTGGCACCAACAGTGACAGGTGAGAGTGGCCTTGCCCCATCCCTCTGTACCACAAGAAGGGCTGTGCTGGCCTGGCTCCTCTCCAGATTTCTGGCCTCGCCATCCACCCACTCACACCCACAACCACCTCCCAGACCCACTTCTCCTTTGCAGCTGCCCCACCGCCTACACCTTCCTGCCACGGAGTTGCTGGCCCATGGGCAGGGGACAGAGAGGCAGTGGGCCAGGGCCCCTCAAGGCGGGCCCCCTGGGAGTTCTCTCCTGAGCTAGAAACCCAGGGACCAGCCTTGCTCCCCTCACACTAGGCTCATCCCCAGCCTGGACCATGACCCCCGGTCTCCTTGCTGCTCTGTCTACCTCCAACTCCAGCAGCCAGAGGAGAGGAGGGTCCTTCTAAATAGAGCACAGCCCTGAGAGGCCCCTACCCAACCCTCCTGCTCCTCATTGCAGGCCTGGTGCTGGGGGTCAGCCCATCCGTCCGCAGCCCAGGCCCTCCCTCCTTTCTCCCAGGGTTCCCCATAGCAGTACCATGCCTGTCTCCAGAACCCATGTCCCCTTAACCTCTCCAGGCCTTTCCCGTGCCATGGTCCCCATCTGCCAAGCTCGTTTCCCTCCCCCTTGTAGCTGCTACAGGTTTCCCTCCCCCACAAGCTCCCTCCTGGCCCCTGGAGAGAGACTCCTCCTTGTGCACTCTGTGCCCACCCCAGCCTGAGTGCTTGGGATCTGAATGGCACACCTGAACCTTGTGCTCCAGGTGAGCTGGGACCTCTCCAGGTACTCTCCAGCCCTTGCCTGGGGGAGGGAGCTCTTTGGACAAAGGTGAGAGCCTCCAGTCTGGGGAAGAGGAGTCAGGGTGGCCACAGGTTCCTCACTACCATGCAGATCTTACTGGGACACTCTGTGTGGCTCTCCGGTGTCCTCCAGCTGGGTCCAAGCAAGGCCCCTGCCTGGCTGTCTGGGCTGGGCACTCCTGGCCTTCCTGTTAGGCTTCCAGACCTTTGTTCACACCAGTCTCCAGTCTCCACACTGCGCGCTCCCTAGACCTCACTCGGTCTGCCACACCTCTCATCATCACCTCCCCGCAAACCTTCCTGTTCCCTTCCATGGTAACCTGTGCTGGTGACCCTTGGGCCTGGCCCTGCACCCACTAACTCCTGCGCTGTCCTGGGCACCTGGTTGCTGGATCCCCGCTGCAGGCAAAGCCTCCAGAGAAGGCAGGGGACTGCGGGGGGTGGGGGTGGAGAACCAAGCCTGGCAGTTTGGACGTGCTTTGAGGCATGGTCTGTCTCCCTCCATTACCCCCAAGTGGGAGCGCCACACAGCTGACTGGGGCCTGGTACAAGGTAGTCACTCCGGAGGGTTTGATGTCCCGGGAAGGGCCGAAGAGCAGTCAGGAGGGGGTGGTGGGAGCATCTGTGGCACCCGCTGGCTGACAGCAGGAGTCCCTTCCCTGGGCTGCCAAGGGCGAGCTTTGGTGTGACCCCCCGTGCCCGGCAGAGGGCCCACCCAGCTGGCGTCTGGGGTGATGGTTGAGTGGCTGACCCCGGAGGAAGCGCAGGTGAAAGAGAAGGTTAGGGCGCGGGCCCTGGGGCCCCGGGGGCACGGTCCCACCACAGCCGTCCCACTCCAGCAGGCAGGGGCGGGCCGGAGGGTGGGGCCTCGGGTTTCCTCCCCAGGGGAGGGCCTGGCGGCTGAGCAGGGGACCCGTCCCTGCAGCTGGCGGAGGCCGGGCACCATGGGGCTCGGGGCCAGGAGCGTGCGGGGCAGGGACGGGCCGGCGCCCACGCCCTGCGTGCAGGCCCAGTGCTTCGACCCGCTGGTCCGCCTCTGCGTGGCCTGCCGGCTCTTCCGCACGCCCGAGCCTGGACGCGGTAAGGGGAGACCCCCGCAGCTCGCCTCGGGCACCCGGGGAGGGGCCGGGGGAGGGTCCCGCCGCAGGGCCCCCCACCCGGCCAGGCCCGGGGCGACGCGTCGAGGGCCCCGCGGGACCAGCGCGCACCGCGAGGCGCTCACCGCCCCTCTCTCTCCCGCCCCGTGTGCCCCAGCCTCGCCTCCCTCCGGCCTGCGCTCCCTCCCCTCGTTCCCCCGTCCTCTCTCCCCGTCCCCTCCGCACGCGCCAGCAGCCGGCCTGAGCAGCCAGGCGCCCGGGACGGCGCTGCAGCCGCAGGAGTCCGTGGGCGCCGGGGCCGAGGCCGCGCTGCCCCTGCCCGGGCTGCTCTTCGGCGCCCCCGCGCTGCTGGGCCTGGCGCTCGCCCTGGCCCTGGCCCTGGTGGCCCTGATGAGCTGGAGGTGGCAGCGGCGGCGCAGGACGGCCTCCCTAGAGGCCCCAGACGGAGGCCAGGACGGTGAGTCCCATGTCTGGGAGAAGGGAAGGTACCGTCCTATGGAGCGGGTTACATGGGCTGGGGTGGGGCCTGTCTCTGGGGGTCATGGACCTTGGGAGCAGAGGAGGTGTGAACCCGTAGACAGTACGGGTGTCCCAGACTGAGGGAGGGGAAGAGTTTGCTCCTGAGCAGGGACAGGCCCCAGCCCTGATCCAAGCAGGGGACAGCACTGCCCTGCAGACCCAAGGAGAAAGTCTCCCGGTGCAGGCCCGGTTCCTGGGAGCCTAGGGGGGCCCTGGGCCCATGTGAGGCTCTGTGGGCTGACCAGTCGGGGTTTCCCACCCATCACCCTCAGTCTGCATCCCACAGCTGGCCAGGCCTCTGGACTCAGCCCTTCCTGTTCTGAGGGCCTGTCATGTGCCACCCCTCCAGGCCACAGTGGTGCTTCATCTACAGCGGGCTATCTCTCTGGGGACCGCTGTGACCCAATCCTGACACTCCATATCCCCTTGCTCCTGCCCACCCCAGAGGCCCTGGACAATGTCATCATCCCCTCGACAGAAACCCTGGATGCTTCAGCTCCCATCTGGTCTCCACCCAGAGAAGACCCAGGCAGCACCCCATCTGGCCACAGTGTCCCTGTGCCAGCCACAGAGCTGGGCTCCACTGAGTTGGTGACCACCAAGACCACTGGCCCTGAGCAACAATAGCAGTGGAGAGGACAGGAGGGGCCCCTGTCCTGCATCAGTGTCCCCCTGCCACAAGGGTTCAGAACTGAATTCAGCTCTTCACTCCAGCACCCACCTGACCTTTTCCTGGGAGCCAGACTGCTCCCTGCTGAACCCTAGAGACACTACAGTACAAAGTGTGTAGCCATTTGGAATTGTTTGTGTGTTTACTTTTTGCTTAAGACCATGCCAACTTTGACTGTTCTTAAAGGTCCTCTCTGCTCCAGTGCTTTTGAATGACTAGCTCTGCCGGTTTTGGATATGGGTTGAATGTGTCCCCCAAAGCTCCATGTGTTGAAATTTAATTCCCATCATGAGATATTATTAAGGGGATGAAAACTTAATCTGATTGTGGCATTTAGAGGTGGGGCCTTTGGGACGTGATTAGGATTAGACAAGGTCATCTGGGTGACAATCATGATTGAACTTTCATGGCTTTATAAGAGAGAGACTAGAAGAAACACACAATATATACTTCTTGTCCTTTGCCTTGTGATGCCCTCTGCCACCTTGTATTTCAGCCAGCAAGAAGGTCATCATTAGATATGATTAGGCCTCCAGAACTGTGAGCTAAATAACCCATTTTCTTAAAGTTTCCTAGCTTCAGGTATTTTGTTATAATAATGCAAATCCAACAAATACAGGTACTATGAATAAGAGATCTTTTCCTTTACAATAGGGAAGGGACCATTAAGCCAAATGAATCTGAAGAGAAGACCCAAGTGGGAGGATGCTTAATTTGTAGCCAGGGTTGTATTTCTTTAACACTTGCTCTCAGAATTATTCTGCTTTTAAACTGACGCAAGTGGCAGCAATGAGTAACCAGCTGATGGTTTCACTTTGGGATTTAGTGCAAGATTATTTTTAATTTTTTTTTTGGTATGTGTATGTGTGGTATTGGGGTTGGAACCCAGACCTCACGCATACTAGGTAAATGCTGTACCACTGAGCTACAGCCCGCTCTCAAGATTATTTTTTAGAAATAACCAGGAAGCTGGGCGCGTGACACACAGCTGTAATCCCAGCGGCTTGGGAGGCTGAGGCAGGAGAATCACGAGTTCACAGCCAGTCTCAGCAATGGCGAGGCACTAAGCAACTCAGCACCCTGTCTCTAAATAAAATTCAAAATAGAGCTGGGATGTGGCTCAGTGGTTGAGCGTCCCTGACTTCAATCCCTAGTACCCCCCCCAAAAAAAATGTGCATAATTGTGCTGATTCTTGAGTATCTACATCCCAGCATCAACCCAGGCTTGGCCTAATCTGCTAGAACCTAAGTTACCATTTCTACCATGGTGGCAGCTTCTAGAGCTACAGCCCACACCCAGGAGGGTCTACAGCCTCCAGAACTAGACTCCAAGATCAAGCTGAGGGACACCGTGTCAGGAAGCTCTCTCTGGCTGCCTAGGACCCAGCTGACTCCCAAGCAAGGCATAGTCAGCTTGCTCAGGGCCCAGCCCAGGGCCTACAGGAGACACCTTCATACACAGGTCAGGGCAGTCCTGTGGCTTTGAACCAGATGGATGGACCTGAGATCCCTAGAATGCCTTTCCCTCTATGGCCTGTCCTCCCTTCTCGCTCTGGTCCAGGCCCAAGAGCTGGGCTCATCTTGTGGGCTCCTGGACCACATTGTACACTCACAGCTAGCCATCTCCTCTCCTGCCTGCCCTCCTACAAGAGAGTGAACCTGAACATCACCCCCGCCCAGGAAAACTACCTGGGAACTTGTTGCAACTTAGCACTTTTGGAAGGAGCACTGGACTAGGAGTCAGAAGGTGGAGTCCTGGGTGTTTTTGCCTTTGTAGGACCCTAGCCATTTTCTTTTCCATGCACCAGAAGTTTGCTGCCTGCCTGCCCCTGAACTGCCCACCAGAGCTGCCTTGCAGACCCTGCCCCTCCCACCCACTGCTTTCCCAGCTCAGAAGACAATGGATAGTGGCATTTGGAGCCCCAGGACCTGGACATTCATATCCTAATCTCTGCCCAGTATTCCCTCCCTGAACTCATTTTAGATACCAGTACTCCTAGGAAGTCAGGTGACTGGAGACATCAGATGGCAAACAGTGAGTGGCAGAGTGTGGGCCAAGCCATTACACTCCCCTCCATCCAGGGCCTGGGGAGTCTGAGCTGTTCCTGGCCACCCCGTTCTCCCACCCCACCTTCACCACTACAGTCAGGGTCTAGGCTCTGAAGGTGAAAAGGGTGAGTGAATCCCCCCTGGGGCCCAGACATGCAAACCTTTGGCACCTCTGAGTCCCAGTTGAACCCCGGCTAGTGTGTAGTTTCCCCTCAGATCTCAGTTTTCTCTAATGAGACACGAGGGACTGGGTACAACATTCTCTTCCCAGCCTGTGTTCCCAGAGGACTGGAAGGAATCGTAAGAGAATTCTCACATATATCCCCATTTCGTAGATAAGAAAACTGAGGTCCAGAGAGAGTCATTGTCATTAGCACCTAATAGAAGGGAAGTTCCTTGGGGAATAGGAGAGACCAGTGGAGGGGCAAACAAAGACGGGCATAGTGTCACCGCCCTGAAAGGGCCTAGACAAGGAGATCAGCCTCCTGACCTCTGGGGGGGAGAGTCCCAGAGGACAATCCAGGGTGGGGTCTATGGAGAACTGACCTGTATCCAGCAACACCAGCCTTTATATGACATATTGTTCTACATAACTGCAGTCATTTTATACATAAACAATCGCATCTTGTTCCATCATATGTAGTAAGTTTCTCTGTCATGAAACACTTCCCAATAAGGCTTTCAACACTTGTCAAGTTTTCCACCTGAGTATTTCTTTATTTTCTGGTTTTGCTATTGTAACTGAGGCACTGAGCACCTTCTTGTGCATAAATCTTTGCATTAGTCTGACTTTTCCAGGACAGTGGAATAAAGGCCTTGACCTTTTAAAGGCCTCTGTTGGCGGAGTTGCTTCCTGAAAAATCTGAACCATTTCACCATCCAAGAGTGAGGATTGTGCTGACTATTTTGCAGGTAGGAAAAAGAGAGGCTCAGAGGGGTAAAGGATTGGTCCAAGATGAAAACTGCAATTAGATGAGTGTGGTGGTGCTACTTGGGAGGCTGAGGCAGGAATCAAAAATTGGAAGACAGTCTTGGAAATTTATGGAGACCTCTTCTCAAAACAAAACAAAAGTTAGAAAAGGGGCTGAGGGTGTAGTTCAGTGGTTGAGTGTTTTCCTAGCATGTGGGTACAATCCCTTGTACCACACACACACACACACACACAAAGCAACAATAACACATACACAAATAATCAAAGCAAACAACTCCCCACCCCACCCCCTACAATTTTGGTGGGCTGGGTTAGAACAGAGCTGAAGGTAACCAGACCCAGGCTCCCTCCTTAGGAGTGACCAGTTCCAGATTTTGACACCAGGCCTCACCTCTTGTTTTTATAACTATTCAAAGACTTTTCTCCCTCATTTTGCAGTAAGAGGGATCCAAGATACACTCTGGAAAGACCACTTGTTGAGGTGGGAACACAGAAGCAGTCTGGCCACCCTAGCCTGTTTCTGGCCATTTTTTCCTAAAGGGGGCCTGGTTTCCACAAGGCCTTCAGGGTCTAGCAAGTGCGGGCAGGGCAGGCTTAAGTCTCGGTTCCTCCTGGGGCTTCCTGCAGGCCCCTTTCACTTCCTGCCTGGCAGCCAAGGGCTGGGGGCTTAAGGTGGGGGTAGGGAAGCCCAGCTGGTGCAGCCATAGAGGAAGGTCTGACCCCTCACCTCCTGCCTCATAGCCCAACATAGCACTGTCCTTAGAAGCTAGTGCCATCTTTCTGGGCCTGTCTCTGCATCTACAAAATGAGACTCCTGAGGACCACCTGGCTCAAAAAGAGGAAATGTGGCATGTAGGCCAGGGTCAGGGAATGCCACCAGCTTGGGGAAAGGAAGAATTGGAGTTCAACAGGAACAAATGCCCAGGGTCGCGGGGAGAATCCGGGAGGGCCTTGGAGGAAATGTCCTCAGCCTATGCGGTTTCCTCGTGGGACTCTGCAGAAGGCAGCGCTGAGGAGTGGCGGTGACTGATGGTTGTACAGGAGTCCCCCAACCCAGGGGAGCCCTGAGCATCTCCTCCACTTTCATAAACTGCAGAGAATCTGGGATTCAACCCCTGACCCAGGACGGTGCAGCGAATCTAGGGCAGGCGAAAGTCTATCTGTACGGCTCCTGCGGTCAGCTTCACGGGTGGCACTTTGACCACCATCCGCGGTCACCGGAAGGGGGTTTACAACAGGGTGGGTGGGGCCAGAACCAGCCGCGCGGCTGGGGCCGGAGTCAAGAATAGGCTGTGCAGCCGGACTCTCGCTTCAAGGTAGCCGGAAATGGGCGGGGTCAAGGCCCAGGGCCGAGAAAAAAGGGAGGGACCGATGATGGGCAGGACCAAGACTGCAGGCACCTGCTTGTAGCCCTTGACCTCTGACTACGCAGGGTCAGAGTCTTAGCGTAGAGAACTGCAGCGGGAGTCGGGAGGTCCCGGATGCGACCACTACCCCAAACTTTCGGGCCAGGTGTGGGGGAGGAGGCGAACAACGCTGGTGACCTGGGAGTTGTGCCCCAGCAGGAGGGCTGGCGTGGGGAGGGCGCCAGTGACTTGGTGGACGCGCGGCGCGACCTCGCCGAGCCCCGTCCAGTCTGCATTCCCGCGCCGAGGTCCTGATGGCCAGCTCCAGCCCTGCCCGCTCACTGGGAACTTTAGAGGAGCCTTATGGAGAGTGACGGGGTGGGGGCGGCCCAGGGATTTCCTGGGACTCCCAAGGCAGGGTGGATTGTGGCCGGGAGAGGTGCCTGGGAATGCGACGGGAGGCTGAGACTCCGCTCCCAGCCCCCCAATCCCGCCGCTCTCTCGAGACCTCAGGAGCTCGGGCGCCCCTCCCTCCCTCCCACGGGCAGCTGGAGCCTGAGTCACGAACTGCCTCTCAGGAGACAAAGGCAACCGTGGGCCCTCCCGCCAGACCCACTCCTGGTGCCTGCATTTGCTCTAGCAGGGCGTCTTGGTCCCCAGAGTCCCTGCTTCTTGGGTAAGCCTCCATCACAGAGGAAATGGAAGAAAGTGAGTTGAGGAATGAGGCCCTTCTTGCATCCCAGTGGCATCCACTGTCACAATCTCATCTTCTGCATTGGGGGTTCTCTTAAGGCCATGTTTACCCGGGTGTTTCCCTGTCTAGTGTCCATTGCCCTCTCCCTGCAGCCCTGCCAAAGGGTCACTAGCAGCCCATC